TGTCATTCCGCCACTGATGTCTGAACTAGACTGTCATTCCGCCACTGATGTCTGACCTAGACTGTCATTCCGCCACTGATGTCTGAACTAGACTGTCATTCCGCCACTGATGTCTGACCTAGACTGTCATTCCGCCACTGATGTCTGACCTAGACTGTCATTCCGCCACTGATGTCTGACCTAGACTATCATTCCGCCACTGATGTCTGACCTAGACTGTCATTCCGCCACTGATGTCTGTGTGATTCCGCCACTGATGTCTGACCTAGACTGTCATTCCGCCACTGATGTCTGAACTAGACTGTCATTCCGCCACTGATGTCTGACCTAGACTGTCATTCCGCCACTGATGTCTGACCTAGACTGTCATTCCGCCACTGATGTCTGACCTAGACTGTCATTCCGCCACTGATGTCTGACCTAGACTGTCATTCCGCCACTGATGTCTGACCTAGACTGTCATTCCGCCACTGATGTCTGACCTAGACTGTCATTCCGCCACTGATGTCTGACCTAGACTGTCATTCCGCCACTGATGTCTGACCTAGACTGTCATTCCGCCACTGATGTCTGACCTAGACTGTCATTCCGCCACTGATGTCTGACCTAGACTGTCATTCCGCCACTGATGTCTGTGTCATTCCGCCACTGATGTCTGACCTAGGCTGTCATTCCGCCACTGATGTCTGTGTCATTCCGCCACTGATGTCTGACCTAGGCTGTCATTCCGCCACTGATGTCTGACCTAGACTGTCATTCCGCCACTGATGTCTGACCTAGACTGTCATTCCGCCACTGATGTCTGACCTAGACTCTCATTCCGCCACTGATGTCTGACCTAGACTGTCATTCCGCCACTGATGTCTGACCTAGACTGTCATTCCGCCACTGATGTCTGACCTAGACTGTCATTCCGCCACTGATGTCTGTGTCATTCCGCCACTGATGTCTGACCTAGACTGTCATTCCGCCACTGATGTCTGAACTAGACTGTCATTCCGCCACTGATGTCTGACCTAGACTGTCATTCCGCCTCTGATGTCTGACCTAGACTGTCATTCCGCCACTGATGTCTGTGTCATTCCGCCACTGATGTCTGACCTAGGCTGTCATTCCGCCACTGATGTCTGACCTAGGCTGTCATTCCGCCACTGATGTCTGACCTAGACTGTCATTCCGCCACTGATGTCTGACCTAGACTGTCATTCCGCCACTGATGTCTGAACTAGACTGTCATTCCGCCACTGATGTCTGAACTAGACTGTCATTCCGCCTCTGATGTCTGACCTAGGCTGTCATTCCGCCACTGATGTCTGACCTAGACTGTCATTCCGCCACTGATGTCTGACCTAGACTGTCATTCCGCCACTGATGTCTGAACTAGACTGTCATTCCGCCATTGATGTCTGTGTCATTCCGCCACTGATGTCTGAACTAGAATGTCATTCCGCCACTGATGTCTGAACTAGACTGTCATTCCGCCACTGATGTCTGACCTAGACTGTCATTCCGCCACTGATGTCTGTGTGATTCCGCCACTGATGTCTGACCTAGACTGTCATTCCGCCACTGATGTCTGAACTAGACTGTCATTCCGCCACTGATGTCTGACCTAGACTGTCATTCCGCCACTGATGTCTGACCTAGACTGTCATTCCGCCACTGATGTCTGACCTAGACTGTCATTCCGCCACTGATGTCTGACCTAGACTGTCATTCCGCCACTGATGTCTGACCTAGACTGTCATTCCGCCACTGATGTCTGTGTCATTCCGCCACTGATGTCTGACCTAGGCTGTCATTCCGCCACTGATGTCTGTGTCATTCCGCCACTGATGTCTGACCTAGGCTGTCATTCCGCCACTGATGTCTGACCTAGACTGTCATTCCGCCACTGATGTCTGACCTAGACTGTCATTCCGCCACTGATGTCTGACCTAGACTCTCATTCCGCCACTGATGTCTGACCTAGACTGTCATTCCGCCACTGATGTCTGACCTAGACTGTCATTCCGCTACTGATGTCTGACCTAGACTGTCATTCCGCCACTGATGTCTGTGTCATTCCGCCACTGATGTCTGACCTAGGCTGTCATTCCGCCACTGATGTCTGACCTAGGCTGTCATTCCGCCTCTGATGTCTGACCTAGACTGTCATTCCGCCACTGATGTCTGTGTCATTCCGCCACTGATGTCTGACCTAGGCTGTCATTCCGCCACTGATGTCTGACCTAGACTGTCATTCCGCCACTGATGTCTGACCTAGACTGTCATTCCGCCACTGATGTCTGACCTAGACTGCCATTCCGCCACTGATGTCTGACCTAGACTGTCATTCCGCCACTTATGTCTGACCTAGACTGTCATTCCGCCACTGATGTCTGTGTCATTCCGCCACTGATGTCTGACCTAGACTGTCATTCCGCCACTGATGTCTGTGTCATTCCGCCACTGATGTCTGACCTAGGCTGTCATTCCGCCACTGATGTCTGACCTAGACTGTCATTCCGCCACTGATATCAATCACGGCCATCCATTCCCTATTCCTATCCGAGCGAGAAGTGTATCTTGTCCCGGCCCAATAAGTCAAGTATTCACCACAGAGGGGAGGAATTTCAAGACATTCCAGAGCCGGGTTGATCTCGTTATGCAACTATCAAACAACACAGGGTTGTCTAGGGCGGGCCGATCAAATAGTGACGTAACGGCTTCAAGGGTTGGCTTCTCTATGGCCGACTTGAATAAACCAACGTTTTAAAAACTGAAATATGAATCGGCCACCAACGTTTTTATCTTGCTCTAAATACCTGCTAAATACCTGGAGGAATTTGGCGAGACAGAAGGAAAACAATTAGGTCGAGTCCATTAAATCAATGTCATAACTTGCATGTTCTAAAGCTCGCGTCATACATTGGTAAAGATATCAAGAGGCCATTAAATCAATGTCATAACTTGCATGTTCTAAAGCTCGTGTCATACATTGGTAAAGATATCAAGAGGCCATTAAATCAATGTCATAACTTGCATGTTCTAAAGCTCGCGTCATACATTGGTAAAGATATCAAGAGGCCATTAAATCAATGTCATAACTTGCATGTTCTAAAGCTCGCGTCATACATTGGTAAAGATATCAAGTGTCCATTAAATCAATGTCATAACTTGCATATTGTAAAGCTGGCGTCATACATTGGTAAAGATATCAAGAGTCCATTAAATCAATGTCATAACTTGCATGTTCTAAAGCTGGCGCCATACATTGGTAAAGATATCAAGTGTCCATTAAATCAATGTCATAACTTGCATATTGTAAAGCTGGCGTCATACATTGGTAAAGATATCAAGTGTCCATTAAATCAATGTCATAACTTGCATGTTCTAAAGCTCGCGTCATACATTGGTAAAGATATCAAGGGGCCTTAAAACGTTAACCCTATAATTGACATAAAAATGCATTATGTGTTCTGTGTTTTGAAAGCGTGTTCTGCAGGGGTGTGTGATAGGTTAGCGTGTGTGTGCTGTGTTCAGATGTAGAGTTTTAATTGTGTTTTACTGCAATGTGGTGTAAAATTTCTGGTATAAATATGATGAGGAATAGAACTGTTGTATTATGTGAGATAATGCACGTAAAATATCGTGATTGTGTAGGAATAACTATTGTATAAATAACATTGTTACATCACCAGAATCTTTAAAACAAACTGTATGCATCGCCTGTATACAGCCAAATCTGTTAGGGAGAGGTTAGCTTATAAGTAAAGGGTCCCAACTATACGTGACATCTACCCGAGGAATAAGTCATCAAATGACAGTGAACTGACAATGTCAGACAGTATAAAGCCACGTGACGCCATCTGTCACAGCAGGACGATGCGCATGACAACATCTCTATAGTCACTGAGCGAGTGACAGAGCGGCTCCACACAAGGATCTGTATCTGGGCAGATCTTCATGCTGCTTCAGCTCCACACAAGGATCTGTATCTGGGCAGATCTTCATGCTGCTTCAGACACAGCCAACACACGACCAGATTAGGGTCATACCTCACTGCTCTCGTTAGCTGATAGCTGTAGACTAGTGCAACCACTTTTATCATCAGTTTGTATACTGGTGCAACCACTTTCATCATCAGTTTGTGTACTGGTGCAACCACTTTCCTCATCAATTTGTGTACTGGTGCAACCACTTTTATCATCAGTTTGTGTACTAGTGCAACCACTTTTATCATCAGTTTGTGTACTGGTGCAACCACTTTTATCATCAGTTTGTGTACTGGTGCAACCACTTTTATCATCAGTTTGTGTACTGGTGTAACCACTTTCATCATCAGTTTGTGTACTGGTGCAACCACTTTCTAGCTTGATACACCATCCCACCGATTTACTGTAATCTATGCTACATACTTGGTATTTCAAAGATTACATACTACTAAACTAGGTGAGTTGGGTCGCTCTAGAAATCATATCAATACATTTTATGAACATCGCTTTTATTTTTCGTTTTATAACTAGAGAAAATGTTTATTTTCTATTTTTTGTGTGCATTTCAAAGCTTGATATTTGATAGCATCATATAGTTACTTTTTTTTTCTCCCTAGATTTTAGTATTTAGATACTGTGAAGTTAAAAAAAAATTTATTCAATATCTAAATGTAAAAAACAACCAGTAACCGAATTATTATTTCAATTGTTTTGTTGTGCGTATTAAGTCAACACCCTAAAGAATTACAAGAACCTGCTTAATAATCTATCAGAAGCTTCCTATGATAACTCTTAACTGACAACAATTGCTCCCTTTTAGACTCGGCGTTTTGCAAACATCCGTGAGCCCAGCTCACCCAATTGATCGAGTGATCGCTACCGTAATCTTCGATCTTCTTCAATTTTAACGACTAATTAAATATGTCAATAGATTGAAAAGCACATATTCTTATGTAATCAAAACTTACAAAATCATTTACTGCAGTAAATTATTAAAACTGTGTTTTGTTCCCGTTTGATCAGATGGTATAGAAGGCGAGTAAATAGAGGACCTGGAGAGGTGAACGTTTGTGTACAGGATCATCAACCATTCCTCAGCCATGGAACATTCAGCGGACAGCTCAACTTTACCAGGATGGAGGCATATATGTATGTCCATGTGCCTAGTTCTCTCAGGATGGGTACTGGCCCTTGGCTCAGGGGAGAGAACCGTGTCGGCCAGCACCCAGACCAGCCTCTGCTCATACACTGTCATCGTCAACGAGTTTGACGTGTCCAAGTGTCCAACACTCAGCGACACCGCTCAGGCCGACGGCGTCGAGTTCCAGTCCCGGAAGTCGGAAACCGGAAGCAAAAAAGATCTCCAAAACCCAAATGCTCAAGTTTTTAGTAATATTCAACATAATTTATACCACGACAAGAAATCGGATTATAGGACAGATAACGCGCGTAGCAGCAGCGGCAGAACTAGCGACAGTCAAGACGCATCGAACTTAAGTCTGTTGGTTAAAGATATGGAAGCCAAACTGTTGGACGAGATGGTTCGCAGCAGAGAGCTCAACTCAACCATCTCGCGACACGAAGCCATGCTGAGCAGCGCTGAAAAGATGCTCGAGTCGTACAAGGCCAACTTCAGCAGCGTGTTCAGGACTATGATGCAGATGGAGAGGAAGCTGCAGCAACAGCGCAAGATCAACAAGTCGCTGAACAAGAAGCTGGCCAACGTCATACTCGACGTGGTCGAGGTCAACAACGTCCTCACACACAAGCTGCCCACAGGGGACGCCACCAAGAGCAGCAAGAAGTTCGCGGTAGAGAGCAGTGCAGGCAGCAGGTCGTGTCCCGGGATAACGGAGGGGGCCAAACAGTACAAAGGTGAGTCAAACTTTCGTGGTCCCAACAAAGGTGAGTCAAACTTTTGTGGTCCCAACAGTACAAAGGTGAGTCAAACTTTTGTGGTCCCAACAGTACAAAGGTGAGTCAAACTTTTGTGGTCCCAACAGTACAAAGGTGAGTCAAACTTTTGTGGTCCCAACAGTACAAAGGTGAGTCAAACTTTTGTGGTCCCAAAAAAGGTGAGTCAAACTTCCGTGGTCCCAACAAAGGTGAGTCGAACTTCCGTGGTCCCAACAAAGGTGAGTCGAACTTCCGTGGTCCCAACAAAGGTGAGTCGAACTTCCGTGGTCCCAACAAAGGTGAGTCGAACTTTCGTGGTCCCACCAGTACAAAGGTGAGTCAAACTTTGTGGTCCCACCAGTACAAAGGTGAGTCAAACTTTGTGGTCCCAACACTACAAAGGTGAGTCAAACTTTCGTGGTCCCAACATGGTGAGTCAAGCTTTGTGGTCCCAACAAAGGTGAGTCAAACTTTGTGGTCCCAACACTACAAAGGTGAGTCAAACTTTCGTGGTCCCAACAAAGGTGAGTCAAACTTTGTGGTCCCAACAGTAAACAGGTGAGTCAAACTTTATGGTCCCAACAAAGGTGAGTCCAACTTTGATATCTTCTTCTTAGACAGCAATTACAGCGCTTTCAGTGGCTCATGTTTTACACTGTGCGGTTGATGTTTAACGTTGTGTGGCTCATGTTTTACACTGTATGGCTCATGTTTTACACTGTGTGGTTGATGTTTAACGTTGTGTGGCTCATGTTTTACACTGTGTGGCTCATGTTTTATAGTGTGGCTCATGTTTTACACTGTGTGGCTCATGTTTTATAGTGTGGCTCATGTTTTACACTGTGTGGCTCATGTTTTTACACTGTATGGCTCATGTTTTACACTGTATGGCTCATGTTTTACACTGTGTGGTTGATGTTTAACGTTGTGTGGCTCATGTTTTACACTGTGTGGCTCATGTTTTACACTGTGTGGTTGATGTTTTACACTGTGTGGCTCATGTTTTACACTGTGTGGCTCATGTTTAACACTGTGTGGCTCATGTTTTACACTGTGTAGCTCATGTTTTACATTACGTTATAATGTACGTCTCGCTTTGTTACGTCCAAACTATTCGAGAAAGCCACATTTAATACCCATGACTTAATTTTACGGCCGTCTACTTAAGTGAATTTTAGAAGTCTATTATTATTAATCCCCTCTAGCAGTTAGGATGATGTCAATACGCTGTCGCTTTAGATCTGTAAATGTAAGTCAATAGAGCGTAGCCTTAGACATAAATTGTGCGGTCTTATTATATAGACATGAATGGTGCAAGATGTAGCCTGACGAGATACTTCATCTAATCCCAGCTAACTAGGTAGGCTGGCTGTTGTTGCCGTGTTACAGCTCAGTGAAGATACCTAGATTGTGCAATATAACAACGACGTCCCATCGCCAAAACGTAAGCCGTTTAGAGAAGGAAAGCAAGTAGAATCTTGTACTGGTTGATGATGTAGTTTAACTGTCAAGCCTATAACTGTATAAGATGACGCGCATTGGTTTCCGTCCTCAGTTGGTTGGGTTTGCTGTCCTGTCGGCGGTAGGTTGGGTTTGCTGTCCTGTCGGCGGTGGGTTGGGTTTGCTGTCCTGTCGGCGGTGGGTTGGGTTTGCTGTCCTGTCGGCGATGGGTTGGGTTAGCTGTCCTGTCGGCGGTGGGTTGGGTTTGCTGTCCTGTCGGCGGTGTGTTGGATTTGCTGTCCTGTCGGCGGTGGGTTGGGCTTGCTGTCTTGTCGGCGGTGGGTTGGGCTTGCTGTCTTGTCGGCGGTGGGTTGGGTTTGCTGTCTTGTCGGCGGTGGGTTGGGTTTGCTGTCCTGTCGGCGGTGGGTTGTGTTTGGAGCCAATGTTCACCTCTCCCATTACCGCCGTACCTGTTTTCGCCAGTGCCAACAAGTGTTGGCTTACCTGACTTAACACCTGTTGAGCACCGTGGCACGTTTCACGTACCAAATAGTTGTAAACACGAGCTTGGTATTTCACGTTTGTAACTTGAGGCCCAATGCCGTGTGCCAATATTGACACGAGTAATACCCACTTACTTGATTCCTAAAATAGCATTACTTCAATTGTAAATGTGTATAGTTAATTTAAACAACAAATAAATAACGTGTCGGTGGTTAAAAGACTTAGAAACATCCAGTAACATATTATTTTCGTCACTAAAACGTGCTTGAAACAGCTCTAAAAGGTTATTCTACATATTGTTACGGGGAAAGCACTCCTTTCTTCACAGGACAACCGTAAGATGAGAGTATCAGTTCCCCGCTAGGCGAGATGGTTATCTCTCTGTAGTTCGGTGACGTCTACATTATGACGTCTGCATTCCCGCCGTCAGTCAAAAGGGGCGCTATTATTAGAAAGTCGGTACATCGTCAACAAACATAGTCTACATCACGAGACATTTGTTTTGATCATTACCTTAATGATCAGAGCCAATTAAAAGTCTTATGCCGGACGAGCACTCGGACATGTCTAGAAAGATGGCGGCCATGTTGGAGAACAATGTAGACCGTGTTATGTCACATGTGGGTACTCGAGCCCAGGCTCGCGGGGAGATCATCTTGTTTTCAAATGTTTAGTCACGTGATAGGGCTGCTCCTGTCTCCCCTAGAGGGAACTACTTCACTTCACCAAGCCCAACATTTGACAAATCTGCACGAAGCGGACTTAAAAGCAAATAATAAATATGGCAAGTTGAATAAACTTCAACGGGACACAATTTGATGTTACTTCTACTCGTTCTACTGAGAGATAACAGCGAGTTGATAGAAGTACTAGTGGTCAAGGTATGAGGCGGGGTAACATCCGGGGGGGGGGGGTAACATCGGGGGGGGGGGGCTACCTCAAGTAGCTGGGCCGCAGAAACAGAGGGAAAAAAAGAAGTCCATTTAAAGCTTGTAGCTTATGTCATTGAAAATTAAAAGAAATATATCTGGTTAGGAGGTGGGGGAAACGAAAGGCTGCCGTGTCGAGATGCCTCTGGGTTTAAAATAGCAAACGTCAACCGGTGACAATGTTATTTACAGGTAGCAAATATCAGACGGTGACAATGTTATTTAGTTACCAAAGACACTTTTAATATTTGAATATGTAATTAAAACTAGACAAAAAATTAGCAACATAAAAATAGAATTTGAAACAAGAGAAGACATTTCACACGATAATAAACTTACCCAGTCAGTACCGACCCCCCCCCCCCCCCATCCCCCATATGAGGCTACAATAGGACTGTCATGGACAATTGTCCCAGCTCTAAAGGTCACAGGCAAGTTCTGTCACCAGGGCAATCAATCTTATGTTACATGCCAACCAGGCTTTGTTACATGCCAACCAGGCTTTGTTACATGCCAACCAGGCTTTGTTACATGCCAACCAGGCTGTGTTACATGCCAACCAGGCTTTGTTACATGCCAACCAGGCTTTGTTACATGCCAACCAGGCTTTGTTACATGCCGACCAGGCTTTGTTACATGCCAACCAGGCTTTAATACATGCCAACCAGGCTTTGTTACATGCCAACCAGGCTTTAATACAAGCCAACCAGGCTTTGTTACATGCCGACCAGGCTTTGTTACATGCCAACCAGGCTTTGTTACATGCCAACCAGGCTTTGTTACATGCCAACCAGGCTTTGTTACATGCCGACCAGGCTTTAATACATGCCAACCAGGCTTTAATACATGCCAACCAGGCTTTGTTACATGCCAACCAGGCTTTAATACATGCCAACCAGGCTTTGTTACATGCCAACCAGGCTTTGTTACATGCCAACCAGGCTTTAATACATGCCAACCAGGCTTTGTTACATGCCAACCAGGCTTTAATACATGCCAACCAGGCTTTGTTACCTGCCAACCAGGCTTTAATACATGCCAACCAGGCTTTGTTACCTGCCGACCTGAACGAACCAATACACAGAGCTAGTGGGCTCAGTTGAAACAGGCCATGCCTATTCCCAAAAGGGCTCTAGTACTACATAATACGCTGTGGTACAGTGTACGAGTACTGTGGTACAGTGTACGAGTACTGTGGTACAGTGTACGAGTGCTGTGGTACAGTGTGCGAGTGCTGTGGTACAATGTACGAGTACTGTGGTACAGTGTACGAACATTGTGGTACAGTGTACCAGTGATGTGGTACAATGTACGGGTACTGTGGTACAGTGTACGAACATTGTGGTACAGTATACGAGTGCTGTGGTACAGTGTACGAATGCTGTGGTACAGTGTACGAATGCTGTGGTACAGTGAAGGATCAACTAACATTGTACACACATTGTGTTTTAGAATTTAAGTTAATTAAGTTTTAGATGCGGAAAAAACCCATATAAAACAAAAAATTAGATAAATTGTCTGAACTAGCATAGATCTATCATTTAAGAAGTGGTGTGAGAGATGATTAGAGGGGGTGTGTGCGATCATTACATCCTTGCAGGATGACCTCCCAACAACAGCTGGACGGCCAATGTTATTTCAATAGCTCGGGTTTCTGTAGCTCAACATCAAGGTCGTCGCTAACAGCGCTCAATGCAAACACATTGGGGGTTTAAATAGGTCTTTAATGGGGCTGTGGTTGGGAGATCTCGAGTTGGGTGGTTGTAGGATTTCGGGTTGTGTGGGGGTTGTGTGGTGGTTGTAGGATTTCGGGTTGTGTGGGGGTTGTGTGGTGGTTGTAGGATTTCGGGTTGTGTGGGGGTTGTGTGGTGGTTGTGTAATTTCAGGTTATGTAGGGGTTGTGTGATTTCGGGTTGTTTTTGCCGTACAATACTCTTGTTTAGACTGTACGTAGTGTTACCTGACGGTTAAACCTTGCCCCACCCGCCACTCACCCCCCCCCCCCCCAGCAGTCACAGACAATTGAATCATGCAGGTATTCAGACAGGAAACTTGAGCTGATACCAGACCTAGACTGTGCTAAGGTGCATTAGACTTCACACACGG